GGACATTATATTTATTTTAGTGGACTAGTATTGTATCTTTATCGTAAAGTATTATCCTAAAACGTCATAAGGGCGAATAAAAAACTATGCTTTAGTTTATTGTGATTTTACTTTTATTTTGTTAGTATTTAAATTTATAGTAAATATATTTAGTTTTTTTTAGATTTATTTCTAATAAAATATAAATATATATTGAATTAATAGCATAAAAGTAGATACTAGATAGGAAAAAAAATATACGCGAAACCGGCGGTTTAAAACCGGACCAAACCGTTAGGTTTAGGTTTGAGTTTTTTTCAAACCGGTCAAAACGGTTTGGTTTAAGTTTGAGTTTTTCTCAAACCGGTCAAAACGATTTGATTTGAAAATTTGTCAAAAATTGTAAAAATTGGACCGCTTACACCCCTACCTTAAACATTTGCACGCCTTGAAATTGGTGGCTCTGTTTCTCTCTGTGTAATTATAATCCGCTTTTAATTAATTTGATTCATTATGAAATTACTCATCCTGCAGTGCTACTTTTTCAAAAATGTTGTTTTATTTTATTGATTTAAATCACGGTTTTAGTGTGGGCCCTGGAAAGATTATTCATCGAGTAATTTGATAAGATGTCAAAAAGCGGGTCGTGGAGTATCCAAGAAACCAAGACTTTTTGACCATTTCTATGCAACAAAAAATTGATTTTTTAATTTGATAAGTTCAAAATGAATTATTTATTTGACCAAGCATTCATATCTTAACTGAATGAATTGTTGTAATCTTTGTTGGAAATTTACTGCACAATAAAATTTAAAATAATTTTAATTTTCACTAAAAATTTATTTTGTGTTTAGATAGAAATTATGATAAGATTTATGCATTTAAAACTTTTCTACAAACTCTTTTACTGATATTGATCTGCAACTAGTCCACACCATAACTGTTCAGCCTCCAATAATAATCCAAACGGGAGAACAAGAATGCAAGATTTGGGGTTTTTCTTATACTAGAAAGATTAGGCGTATGTTATGATTTTTCAAACCTTAGCAATCTATTAATAGAAGTTTTGTGGATTTAACTTGTCTCTTAAACTTAATTTGGTCCAATATTTATTAATCTAATTCACTAAATCCATAAATTAGTTAAGCTAATTAATTAACTTAGTCTCATTAGCAATTCAATTAATTAATTGTCAAACACTTGTCAATTAATTAATTAGTAAATATCATTTTTCTAGTTCTCTTTTGTGTGTGACATACTAGGTTCTCGACCACGATGATAACGACGCAAGTTATTATTTTGATCTAATAAAAAATGAGATCAATTAAACTATCTTTTCAATTTATCGTTAACTCACCTAGGTTAATCAATTTACTATGTCGTCCCAAATTATGACAAATAGCAATGTGTCGGCAATACATATAATTGGAAATGTCACGTGGTATGACAACCAAATGTGTTCGTTTACCATGAAGCTATATACATTCGTTAATATGATCTGATTAATTACGAAATATGAAAATGTGTCAATTTTGATTATCAATCATATTTTTCATTCTACTATGAAGTCAATACAAGTCAAAAACTTATTTTCGACTTACGAGCCTATCTTAGCCAAGCATTTTGTTATTAACTTAACTGAATGAAATACAAAACATAATATCTTACTATGTGAGAATGACGAATTCTCATTCTCAATTTTTATATGATTCTTGAAACACTCGAACGATGTTGTACTAACGATTCTTGGCAGGGCAACATCAACATTATCAAAATATGAATATTCTCATATAAAGTACTATGATGACCTCGAGTCGAAAGAATTCTATTACTAAACGTTATAAATTAACGACTGACACTCAAATAATTATCAATTTGGAATCTCTCCAGCAAATCTCCAATGATTTGTTCTCTCAACAAAATATCAACGTATTCATTTAAGTGTTACCACATTTTAAGTTGTAAAATCAGCTATTGACTTCATAAGTAAGAAATGATACACATGATGGTCTACCCCATAATAATGATATTCATATCTCGTTATTACTTACAACTATGGATGATTTAAGATTTGTATCTCACAATCACAACTCATTGTGATTAAAAATTTGTATATCACAATCACAACTCATTGTGATTAACAAATTATTAAGACTTAAGTCTATGGATTCTATTATTTAATGTAATAAAAATATTTATTTAATTTAAATAGCAGATCTACCATAAATAAAATGTATAAATTATATATTAAAAGTATTTATATCCAAATTTGATTGGACTTAGAGTATAATACTTACAAATTCCCATTTGTAATGGATACAATCACTTATGTATCTAATATCATAAGAGTCTATATGACGAGCATATTTATGCCGCGACAATTCTGTGTCGATGGATTTACAATATTATCAATCGTGAAAATTCGTTCTTTCTTTACGTCATTTCTTTGTCTGATCTCTCTAATGAGCTAATACCACCTTAACACAGATTTAGATCATTAAACTCGTTGTCAGTGGATCTGCAATTTAATAACTTGTGGGAATTCGTTCTTTATTTACGTCATTTCTTTGTATTATCTTTTCAATGAGATAACACTGCCTTAACATATGTTTAGATCATTGATG